ACAGCACTACAGTCATTCACTGGAGAACACAAGCACGTCTAAGCCTCAGCAAAATAAATAAATAAATAAATAAATAAAATTTTTTCTTCTATATCAGGATTTCATGACGGATCCAAACCATGAATGTTAAGTTTGCAAGTGCAATTTGTGTTTTTAACAGGGAATGTGTCTTAATCCAAGAGTGCATATTCTTTATCAGATCACTAGTTACTCAGGAAATAGCTATTTTAAATTACCTTAGGCTAGGGAAGCTTGATACCAAATGCAAAAAAATCACAAAGGCTTAACACATTGAAACCCAAAAGTTTTCTCCAGCAAACAATTCCATCCTCAAAATCAAATGGCAAATAATTGACAAAGGGTTGCAATCTCTAATTCAAGGTTTCTCACAGTGTGGTCCACATACCACTGGAACTATTTAAGAAGAGTTTGAGATGGTTCATCAACAGAAAAATGAAGTGGAGAGCATGAATTTAGGAGCTGCCACAGGCAGACAAGAAAGTAGTCTTGCCTCCTCAAGCCACACATTACCGCCTCAAAAATCAGCACAAGGAATATAAACTTACAAAATCATAAGTTTTCAGACTCACTAAAGAAGCAAGTTATTTTTTAGGTAAAATTTTCTTGGGAATCTGATCTCTACGTGGATATCCTCCCCCAGGCTGGTATGTATCACCTCAACAAGGAAGGTGAGATGAATTAGCACACATAAAGCAATGAGACAGCTTTGTTATTATCATTTTCTGAGCATCTAAATGTGGGATCCACTGGTTGCGAGGTTAGGAGCTTAAAGGTAGACTCTTAGGGATTTTAGAGTTCAGATTCAAGTATCTCAGACCATATTAGGCAGGTGTGCTCAGGCTGATTAAGAAGTTTTTGAATAAAATCGTAGAAGTAACTTTGAAAGACAACAAGATATGGCAAAAGCCCCATTCTAGCTTGCTACATCTTAAGATGAGAGTACTCAGGCCCCTGAAATTTAACCTTCGCAAGTTTTTTTTTTTCCCCATAAGCTACATTTAAATGGGAAATTTGAACTGCCTGTCCAGCATACCCTATCTCCTACCTAAGAGTTCCAGTTTCAGAAGCATATTGCAGTCATAAGGTGGAGTTCCCTAATAATAGTTTTCCGGGTACTCTTCCAGTTTTGAGTATTGAAAATCCTGTGTTCCCAGGATGGTTGGTCATCTTACTGAACAAGGATTTTCACCCTCTGGTTAGTTTCTGGGCTGTTATTGACCTCTGCCTAGCAATTATTTCTTAATGCACAATTCTTTAGTGTCTGACTGATCTCAGGCAGAGTTTTAGCTCTACTGTTCATTGTGAGGCATGGGACAAGTAATTTAATTTTCCCAAACTTCAACTCCCTACATTATAAAATGAACAAGTGTGGTAACCCACTTCATTGGGTTGTTGTAAACATGAAATGACTTTGTGCTGATATAACACTTAGGATATATTATAGACACTCAAAATGAATGTTAGCTATTCATCTATTATAGTTATTAGTTACCAAACACAAGTTTGAAGGAACAGTGTTTAAAACACTTCTCCCCCCCCCTCATATGAAGTTTGGAGGTACCATTTACATTCCAATGAGATGCACCTGCAGGCCCCTCAGTGGTAACTGGTTCCTCTGCTTACACAGCACTGCTCACCAGGACTTCTACCAGGCTCTCAGAGTACTCTACGTGATTAAACACCCCCAATTACATTTAGACCTTAATAAGGAATTTTCAAAACCAAGTTAAATTTGTGAAATCACAAATGAGATGGAAAAGGGCACAAAATGATGTAAAAATAAACTATTATATTTTCAAAATTGTGAAATCTTTACATGGAACCATACCAACAATTACGTAGATGTTTAAAATTCTTTGTTGACCACTGGCTGTCCAACTAGAAGCCAAGTAAAACCTAAACAAGTGTAAAACACAGCCCTGCCTTCAAATTGCTTATATTCTTGTGCCCCAAAGAAACTAAGAGGTAAGCTGGGAGCCAGAGACAGGTCAAATCATACAATCAGGCAGAAATGAAGAATGCCCACCCTTCCACCAAAGAATACAGAAGCCCTGGTACGAGGGGAATGAGCTGCAGAAGGAAAGGCAAGAAGAGTCGCTTCTCCAGGACAAAAGACAGCCTTAACGTAGACAAAATGTAGGGAAAAAAGACACCCAAGCAGGAATTTTAATATCAAATCATGAAGTGAACAGAGGTGAAAATGATGGCATTTGACACAGGTGAAATTGGTGGTGGGAATTCTATGGTGACTACAGCTGAAAGCAAACATTGTACAAAAATGAATAATGATGTAAAATATATATAAATAAATTATATTTAAAAATAGGGATATGAAGGTAATGAAAATGTTCTAGAGTTAGTAACAGTGGCTGCACAACATTGCCATTAGAGTAAGACCACTAAATTGCTGACTTTAAAATGGTTAATATGGTGGTGAATTTTATCTGAATTAGTAAAACAAATGTTGATCAAAATATTCCTCACAAGATGTGATCACTATTTCTGTAAGGTCAAAGTGTGTTTTGATGTATGCTTTGAACCTAAATAAAATCTTGATTTGGTGGAATTAACTCCAAAATAAAGGGTAGCATTTGAAATATTAAATCATTAAATGGAACAGTCGTAAAAATGATGGCTGAGTCATGAAGATGGACACCCTGCACATAAATGAAGGAAGAAAGAGGAACTTTCCACTCCAGGGCAGGCTGTCAAGCTCAGGCATGGGAGAAGTCCCGTGACCAGCAACAATCATCTCCTACTTTACTAATGAGCATGTCATTCTGGGTAAAACCTAAACCCAATTCAGAATCCCGGATCGTGAAGGTCCCAGTTATCAAGGAAAAGGAGAGAAAGCTTTGTCCTGCTGGAACTAGAAGAACCACAGGATCCTGCCACCCTCCAGCCTAACAAAGCTTGCTGGCTCCCTGCTCAGCTATTTTGGATGCTGAGTAGCTATGAGCCCAAGAAGCAGGGTGCTTGGGTCCTCTTTCCAGTAATTCACCCTCCACACCCGACCAGTGCCCTCTGCGCCCCTCACCCCTACTCTGTAGCATTTCCATGGACCCAGGAAGTCTTTCCACTCTGGAAACTCAGACTTGCAAGGGCCTCCCAAGGTGTGGTATGAGGGAGCATTCTGATTGCAGCCTCAGCCTCATACCTTACCTCTCTTCTTTCTCGGCCAAACCTAAGAACCAGAACTGAGGGAGTGCCCCTTCTCACACTTTATCAAGGTCACCTGGGGCAGTGTCTCTTCCAGATGGGAGTGCAAACGCTAGGGCCACTCTTTCCAGGTGTCGCTGCCACCCCTCCCCGCCGCAGCTCGCCTACCAGCGGGATTGTTTGGAGTCTGTTAGGGCTTTAGCTTGGCTGGGCTCTCACTGTCTGGAGTCTGACTGAACACGCTTGTAGTAATCGGTCACTAGAAATGAGGATTCCCTCGGAACCTGTTTTATATGTGGTCTAGTTTCTTTGAGACAATGAAACCATTTGATCCTTAAGGTGAGATAATCGATGAGAAAGGACTTCAATGACTGGAAAATGCCTGAGAAAATCAACTTATTAGAATAACGCAAACAAGGTCTGCAGCCAGGTTGGTCCTCTTTCTGAAAGTCTGGGGCTGAAAGGAAGAGGTGTGATGGTGGGTTTTGCCTTGGGATTAGGGGAAGTAAACCTGGATGGAGCACAAAGTGACAGTAGCTCCTGCCTTCCTTGATTTGCACCTCACCAAAAAGTCATCCATTCATCTGCCACCAGAGCACCAGTGTGGCATGTGTACATGTGGAGGGGAAAAGTCCTCGCAAAATGATAGTGATATAAACAACTACAAACCAATAAAATAAAGAAAAGCCATCCAATTATTCAAATATCCTGTGGTCACACAATTCTTTTCTATTGCCTTGTCTGCTTACAACCTAGAATCTCAGAACTAGAAGGAAATTTAGAGACCAGAGAGGTTAGACATCTGCTCAGGCTCACAGAGTGAAGTAAAGTCATAACTTGAACCACAACGCAAGGCTCCCACTGTGGTGTTTTCTTTCTCTTACATAACCTGCCTGCGTGTTGAGAAAGAATAAAATCCACCCCAGCACATTTACACTCTAGTCCCAATGGCTCTAAGAACACCAACCCCACAGATGGGTTTCCTGAAGTTGCCTCCCCTGTCTCTAAATTGCCTCAAATGTCTCTCAAGACTAGTCCTTACCAGAGTCTGAGACTGGAGGCCAGCAGCCACCTTGGGTCTTCTTACTGTGTCTCTCCCCTGTTCTCTCCCTTTCCCATCCGCAAGATTTCTAGAAAGTCTGACCTGCATTCAACAAGCGCCTGCGATGACAAGGATTCAGCCACCAACCCATCCTAGAATGTTCTCCAGGGCTACTTTTATCCATCATTCAAAATTAAAGGCTGAAATCCAGGAGAAGGTGGGTGTCCTCCCAGTTCAGAGTCTCCAAAATTCTCAAGGTCTCTAACTTTTCTATTTCCCTGCGCTCCCCTACACCAGCAACTACTTAATTTGTCTTGACATTTTGCTTGCTTTCACTGACAGCCAGGGCCCGCTCAGAAATTTGAAAGTCCTGGCACTTTTAACCAGAGTTAGCAATTATTTAGAAATGGGCTTTTGAGATGGTTAGAACCCAGATCCCAGGAGCAGAATCTCCACAGTGGAGATGTATGCATTTGGAGGTGGGGGGTGCTGGGGAGAGACAGACCGCTAGCTATACCTAAACAAAGTGGGGAGTCTGCCCACCATCTCGGGCCCCAGAATCTCCCAAAGAAAGCCCCTGCAAGAACATATCCCCAAACAGGCCCTCTCCGGGCCCTATAAATCTCCAGGCAGCCTCCAGGTCGGGTCCTGGCACCCTGTGAGCCGACCTCCCCACTGCTCCCCGTGAACTTCCTGATCGCCCCTTTTGGCAGACGTGAGGATTCAGGAGAAACAGTGCGGGCCAGTCGCGTGCCTACCCGTGTGCTCGGTCACTCACCTGTGGAAGAAGAGCAGGATGGACAGCATGGTCTGGTCGATGTTTCGATTGCAGATGCCTTCGTTGATCAGGTAGCAGGGGTCCCGCAGCACTGGCTCTAGCGAATCCTGCCGCATTATGCTGTTGAGCTTGTCGGTGTTGAGGTTCTCGAAGACCAGCTTTTCCTGCAGCTGCCGAAAGTTGCTCACGGTCGGGCTGCGGGGGTTGTTGTTCTCCCCGCTGCTGTCGCTCTGGAGCCCGCTCCGGTGGGCCAGGTCCAGGCAGCAGTTGCAGCAGTCGAGGCCGACAGGTGAGCGGCAGTCGCTCTTGGGCTGGGCCATCTTCTCAGGCTCAGGGGCCGCCTGGCCTGCGAGGTCAGGGGCGGCTGGCAGGTGCGCGCCAGCCGGGCCGGCCTGAGGGGACTCCAGGGTGTCTAAGCTGTGGGCAGAAGAGTTGGAAATTTAGCGCCTAAAGCCAGCCACCCTCGGCTCGGCCCCCTTCTGGCGGCGCTGCTCGGGGTGCGAATAGAAACAGCTGGACAAACAGCTCGGAGCGGATCCTTCGGGCTCACTTCCTCCGCTTCCTCCTCCCCCTCCTCTAGAGGCTTGGGGCCGCCCCCCACCCCCACCCCCACACTCCCCGAGGTGCCACGGGCGGCCCAGCGCAGCCCCAAGTTTCCTAAGTGGGAGCGAGGCTGAGGCGGACCTGTGGCTGCAGGAAGGGCGGGCGGCGGGGCAGAAGGAGAGCCGGGCGCGCCCTCGCTCCCTCCCTCCTTCGCTCCCTCCCTCTCGGCTCGCGGGCGCTCCCGCTCTCGGGCTCCCCGGGGCTGTGCCGGCCGTGCGGTGGCCGGAGCCGAGACTGAGCGAGCCGTACGCCCCGGAGTCAGCACGGGGCTGTGACAGCATGTAAATTACCCTGGAGGGGCCGGCGGAGAACGCTCCTGCGACGCGTCCCTGGCGGCTGCTGGCCCGAGAGCAGACTCGGTCCTGCCCCCAACCCCCCCGTCCTCCCCGCCCCCGTAGCGCCCTTGCCCCCACACGTCTCGCACCCTTGCCCGCGCTCTCTGGAGCCGGGTCCGGCTCGCACTCCCTCCGCGCGCTCGGCGCCTGGGCTCCGGCTCTCTCGCGGCTCGCGGCGCATCCTCCCCTAAAAATCTCCACGCAGACGGCCCGGGCAGCCGCGCCACCCTGGGCTCGAGCTCGGCGGGAGGCCAAATCTTCCTCGTCCCGCCGCGGTTGGGTCCCCCTGCAGGAGAGACGCCGCCCCTCGAGAGCGCGACTTCTTAAAGCTTTACACCTCCGCCCGCCACGGTTTTTCTGGGGGGCGCTACGAGAACTGTTGCCCCTGTAGAAAGTTCCAGAGTGCCGGGCACACATCAGAAGTACCCAGTGAAGATCTTGAAACAAAACTCACAGAAACACTCTCAAAGTCTCCTCAGTTTTTGGCCCTTTCCTGTTCACTTCACGGATCTTCCCCTTTCCCCCGCAACACGTTCTCAGAGCCCCGTCTTAGACGATCGGCGTCCTGGCTTCCGGGAATGCCAGTTCCCTAGTAGACTCCCCGCTGCCTTGCCCCTTCGCCTTCTTTCTCTTATTTTTTCTTTACCCAGTTCGCCCTCTCCCTTTTTTTCTTAGCCACATCTCTTTCCTCATTTCTTTTTCTCCTTTTCTAAATTTCTTCACTCACCCCCTCTCTCCTTTTTTCGTCATTGTTCTCCCCCTTCATTCCTTCATTTTATTTCCCTTTCGTTTCCCTCACTTCGCCGCCCCTCTTTCTCCTCAACTTTATTCGAGTTTCCTGACTTCGTTGATTTCCCCAATTTTCCAAGCTTGCCCCCCTCCAGGTGTTCTGACGCGCCCCCCCCCCTTGCCACCTTACCCTTCTAAGGAATGTGATTGATTGTTCCTGGGCACTGGAGGGGGGGGAGGGGTTTAAGAGCTTCTTGGTTCTGGGGGAAAGGCGAGTCTAGAGCTGTGGTAAAGTGAAAGAGCGGCTCCGTGGATAGTAAAGTAGTCTTGTGCCCTGAGTCGTAATAGCCCAGGTCGGTGAGGTGTGGGCATGTGTTGGGTGGGCGTTTCAGGGTGTCTCAGGACTTGGAGACTTGGCACAGGTAGAATTCAATAATTTTTGGCTCCTGAAAATAATTAAAATATTCATGGTATTCGCTTTTCACATCTAATAAGTACATTTCAGTTTGTCAGCACTCCCTGCCCCCCCCCCTTACGCTCGCTTCAACCACAAATCCACTGCTGTTGCCATCGAACGGTGTATACTGCCATCTTGTGTTGAAGAGATGGAACTTTCCTTGCCCGGGTCACTGAGCCAGAACTTTCCGAACTTTCCGAGATACCAGAGGTGCCTCCTAGTGGAATATACACTACATTGGCTCTGAGAGTAAGAAGGAAGCGCCTTATAGTTTATACAAGGGGGTCTCCTGGCCAAACTGCACTTCTTAACAAACACCCTTTTTCTGATGGAGTTACATTTTCCTGAGTCCCTGTGAACTGAGATTCCATAAATTTGAAATGTTTATAGATTTGTATCAGTCCTATGCACAGTGGCAAAAAGCAACCAACTAACTCCTGCCGAAGACCCTCTCTGTGTTACAGGACCCTTGCAATTTGTGGGGCCAAACATTTAGAAACAAACTATATCCCTGACCCCTGACAGGATCCCAAGATGAGAGATGAAAGAGGAGTTTGGAGATCACTGATCAGGCCAGCAGAACTGAGAGTATGAATCCTGTTGTACTCACACACTGCTGAGGATTCATAGTTCGTTCTCTTAAAAGTTGACCTTTATTTTATTTTTTCAAATGTTTCCTTGAGTTTTTAAATTTTCTGGTACATTTTTATTTGTTTGTTTATTTATTACTGGTATAACGTCTGTTTACAACATTTTTTTTTTTTTTACAGGTATACGTTTACTCCCTTTAGATGTTGCCACACCATACTCACCATCAAGATGCTCACAGTCCTCCACCAGGGCTCATTGTGCTTCCTTCCCACTCTGCTCTCTCCTTGTCCCTCCTCTGGTAGCCTTAGTTCTGCAATGAGATTTCTAGGGCTTGTTGTTATTTTGGCTTTATCTAACCCGTTGTTTTGTTTCTCTATATTTCACAAGCAAGTGACACTATCTGGTATTTGTCTGTCTCTTTTGCACTTATGTCCCACAGCATAATCCCCTTATCCATGTTGTAAATGGCAGTTCAACTTTTTTTTTTTTTTGTAGCTGAGAGTTATTCCAGTGGTGTGTGTGTGTGTGTGTGTGTGTGTGTGTGTGTGTGTGTGTGACATTTTTCTGAGTCAGTCATCTGCCTATCCACACTTAGGTTGTTTCCACAACTTGGCTATTAAAAGGGCTGCAATGAATATAGAAGTGTGTGTATCCCTTTAAGTCAGTGTTTTTGCATCCTTCAAGTAGATACCTAGGAGTGGACTTGCCAAATTGTATGGAAGATCCATTTTTAATATTTTGACAACTCTCCTTCATGTTTTCCGTGGGGGGAAAGGCATTCTTTCAGATGCATTAATTTCCCTTTTTTTTTTCTTTGTTGCTTTTTATTTTTAAATGTTCTTGGCTAAAATCCAGAGAAGGTAGTAAAATATGAAATTTCATACGCATTCTGTATACGTACAGCCTACTGAATTGTTTTTTAATTACGGTGTTTGACTTTCCCTCTTGTTTATAATTATTTTCTGTTAGATAATGTAACAATATAGTAGCTCCGTAAATGTCTGTTTAAGGTCTGTTTTGAGAACTGCTAGGACCTTTTGCTTCACTATATGCCTGAATCCTCCTATCTTTGTGCACAACCTTGGGCTCAGGCCTTGGTGGGAGTCCTTCCTTCTGGCGTTTGGTACCATTAAACTGAGATTTTGTCCCCTTGACATTTCCTTCATTGTTGTTCTTGCTCTTAAGCAAGTATTGTTAATAATTCAGTATAGCTTTGCATACTATATCCATGTTGATCCAGAGCAAATATAACTTAAGATATAGAAAAATCTAGATAGTTCAGAGAGAAAGAGTTCAGAAATATGTGGTGCTTTTGTATGCACGTCCAGCTTGTACTGACGTATAGCATACTTCCCAGGGAAGGCTGGTTGGGCAGGGCCTCCTTGGCTCCTCTCCGTGAAGTCTTGCTTTGCTCACATAGCAAACGTTGCATGGAGAGACTCCAAGTAGCAAAATATTCTTGCATAAACCCTGGGAGCAGAGAGGGGCCCCACTTCCAGACAGAGCTGGTTTCTGGAGAGAACAGAGGAAGAAGACAAAGGGTGGTTCCTTCTCAGATGGAGTACTTCAACCATCCTTTACTCTGCGCTTCCCTGTGCCAGGTACAGTCTCAGTGGGCATTCGGAGATAAATAGGACAGACCCAGGCCCCCACAGAACTTACCATCTATCTGGCAAAACAAATACAGAAACAGAGACAATCCAAATGGGAAATGATGGTGGAGGCCTGGTGTGTGGGGAGGGAGGGTGCTGTGGGAATGCAGAGGAAGGGAAAGCTAGGGAAAGAGAAAGGCCCACCTATGTGGAAAGACTAGGGAACAGAGGCCTGGAGATGAGAACAGTGTGGATTCTTGGGGTTGGGTGTGGATCACAAATCCAGGTCGGTGTTAGTAGAAACAAAATTGTGTGAGATGAAACAGTGAGCGTTGAGGCTGGAAAGGGATTCAGAGACCACGTCTGAGGGAATCTCGTATGAAGCATTAAGGAAATCCTCTCACACCAAAGGTTTTCCATGCATTTAGATGTGTTAAGAAAAAGAGTAGATATCATTTATTGAATCCCTGCTACGTATTGTATATATTATCTCATTTAATTGTCACAACAACCCTATTCCAGTGTAGAAGTGGGCTTGGAAAAATTAAACGCTCAGGTCACATCAGTAATAAGTGGTGACATTTGGATTTGTAGCCACAGTTTTCTAACTTTAAGGCTTGTGCCTTTAACCATTAGGTGACTTTTTAAAAATGGCTTTATCAAATACTTGAAAGGCATAAAACAGCTGCTTTCAGATGCATATTAAAAAAAAAAACAGAGCAATCAATTATTCACTGACTAATATATTTAAGCTCTTCTTTTATTTGTAGTGTGGAAAGCCAGTAAGGAAATTCGCAAATCTGACATAATGGTATTATAGTAGCTGAATTTTTGATTGCTTGCCATGTGCCAGGCACTGTGCTAAGTGCTTTATTTGGCATCACTCAATCTAATTGTCACAATGATTCTGTTAAGAGCTAAGATACTCCCATCATCCCCTTTTAGGAAACAAGGGAACTGAGGCTCAGAGAGGTTAAGAAAGCATGTCTAGACAACAAATAGCTGCTCTCTAAGCACTTACAGTGTATTTAGGGTCAAGTTAAAGCACACAATAATGATTTTTATGCAAGCCCATTTCCCTACCATCAATATTCAGCCTTTTCTAACAGGGGGAAGCAGATTATCCTTCCTGAGACTTTTCACAAATGTCCATCACCAAATTACAGACTACCATAATTGCTATTTAAGATCTTCTAGTTCAGGGATTCTTAACCTTTTTTTTGTGACAAGGACTCTTGTAAGAGTATAGCGAAGCTGGCACTCCCTGGTGGCACAGCAGGTTAAAGCACAGCACTGAGAAGCTAAAGCTACTTCAGCATGAGTTTGATCCCCGCTTGCCCAGGAGGTGACCACATGGCGTGGCAGACCTCTCCTGACCTGTCTGCTGCTCCCCTTAGCAGTGTGTTTCCTTGATCTGCCTGTTCTGCTCCCCACTGTCTCGGGTGAAGCCTCTCACCACCACACCTCTGGCCTGTACCCCAGTTCTATATGCATAAATAAATAAATCTTTAAAAAAAAAAGAGTACAGTGAAGC